TGTTTGGCTAAAGTACTTAATTTCACTTTTCTGAACATTTTTTTTTCCTCCACTTTTAAAATGTCTTCTTTATTTGCTGCTTGTTACATTTTTCAGAACAAAGTGTTAAATGATTCTTATTTCACTCTTTTTGGAGCTGAAGTATACAGTTATTCAGGTTAGACAGCCTGAATGCGGGCATCTTTCAAAGTGCATTAACTTTCTCCACTACTTTATGAGTATCTCTGCCTCTTAACTGAAATCATGTTCTTGGTGTTGGACAAAAGAGGTGTTTTAATTACTGAAAATTTTTCAGAGGCCAAGCCTATGTTTTATATAGTTAATGTAAAACTTTCTGGTTTTCTGTTTTTCAAATTGAGTGAATAGCAGTATGGGGGATAGGGTTAAGCTTGACATGTAGTGTGTCTTTATTCCACACTTGAACAAACGTTTCTTCATCTTTTTACCACTTTTCACCTTCATCATATTGATGAATTTGGACATAACCTAATTACCTCCAGTCATTGTTTTGGAAAGGGCACATACTGGTAGCAGACAGCCTTATTTACTACTGCTGTCCTTCAGGATGTTCCTGGAAGAGGATGTTACCATAAAGTACTGGATTTTTTTTTCCAAAGATAGTTCTTGTACATATTTGGGTTCTATCTGTTCAACAGTAGAGAGTCTTGACTTCCTTTCTGACCATTGCTGGCAATTAGTGAAATATCTCATGGAGTTGAAATATTACGTACAGCTTCTCTGCCTGAATATAGGCTAGGTTCATATATCAAGTATTAGTTACATGAATAGTTCCTGCAGGGTTAAATCTGATGGTTGGTTATTAGCAAGACTGCCTCTGAAGTACTGAAAGGGACACGAACTTTATTTCATGTTAATTGACTTAAATAGAATGTTATAGCTGTATTTGTCTAAAAAAGGAAAAAGTCTCCAGTTTGCTTTAGTCAGAGGGATGCTTGTCCAAAGGAGAATGGATGATACCATGCTGAGAGGTCCTTCCTTCTGTGAGCTAATGTTTATCCCATGTGCAGCACAAACCAATAATATTGTGAAATCCATATGGTATTGATGGCATTGTTCAAACATGCAATTAACATTTTCTGGAACACTTAAGGAAGTTATAAAATGAAATCGAGATCCCAGCTTAATCTCTTTGTAAATTCAGCCCATGTAGAAGATCTTCTGAACTGCTGTACTGTTCCTTTATTACCGCTTGCTTCCTGAACAGACAGAACTACTCTTGCATATTTTCTGCAGATTTCTGTCCCATGTTTGCCCAGTGCTGCCTTGTGAAGTAACATAATTTTCTCTTCATGTTCTTTACTGTCCTGAATGTCCTCTTTGAGTTTTTGGTTTCATGACGTGTAAGTCTCGGGTGGACAAGAGGAAGCAGGTAGTGAGATGTTTGAGCTCCACATAGAGTAATTGCTGAGGTGGAAAGTCAAACCAGCAACTGTTGAGCTCATAGTGAAGCCTTTTCTCAGCAGCACTTCTAATTCTTATGGGTTTAGCAGAGTGGGGCAGGAATGTCTCTCTCCACAAAACATGTGGGACCTCAGAGAGAATAGAGAATTAAAGGAACAATTTCAATTTCTTGAGGGAATAAGGCTAAGAACGTACTACCTGCTCATAAATAGGTGGCCTGTCTGGAGAAATAAGAGTAGCCTTTTCTTCAGACATACATCCTTGCTTTGTTTGAAAGTGTCCTTGTTCTCTGAATTTATTTCTCTTGCCTTTCTAAAAGCACAGCTAAGGATTTTTTTTTCCTTCAGACAAGCTAGAAAAGTATCGGTTTTTACATTCTGGGATTTATAACAGAGGACTGTTGTTCCCTGTTGGATTGTAGTGCCATAACAATGAGCTGATACCACTGAAATGATTGGTTGGTATCTCACCCCCATTGAAAGCTTCAGTAGGCAAGGTTGGAATGTGACCAGTTAGTATAATTTTCATGTACAATATTACACTACTATTAGTCGTTTGTTATTTCACTCTCAGGTTTTGTGCTTTGAGAAAGTGTTTATTGAGTTTGAATATTCTGCAACTCATGGACCTACTGTGTTTCAGGTGGGTAGACCTTGCTGAAGCACAGCAACATAGGCTCTCTTAGGCTATACCAGTTATTGCTCTGTGGTTCAATTGTTTTGCTTCTAAAAGAGATTTCTTAATTTTATAAAACTTAAAAGTTTCCATTGGCACCATAGTGATTTAAATGACCCATCTAAATTTTTTTAACTAGTTTTCTTGAATTTACAAGGCAGCAGTTGTTTGCACTTGGATGTGGGAATGTCACTTGGTGTAACTGTACTGTTTTGACCTCATGTTAAGCGTTTTTTAGTTCAGAAGGAGTGAGAATGCCAAGAAGTTACCTTCTGATTGCTGTACTCATCAGAGGATAGTATTAGTCTTTGTTTGCAGAAAAAGGCTAATTTTCATCTCCTTTCATTCCCAGTTATTTTTTGCAGTCTATATTGGTCTTATTTAAGAGGTTAAATGCTGGTGATGTTAGCACCGTCTCTCTTTTCCCAATGCCTTTTGCCTTTATAAACACTTTCTTTGCTTTGGTGGGGGTGTGTAAAAATCACTTTTTCTTCACATTGCCATTTGTTCTGTTATGCTTCCAGAAGTATAAACGTTAGTGAGTAGCTGATGGACCTCTTGTAAACAGTTTGCTATCTGAGCAGGGTGTTTTATCTTTGTTAACAGAAAAGTGCGGGTTATTTCTCTCATGTACCTGCTGCTGATGTTGATAGTGCACGCACAGGTGAAAATAGATCTTTCGATACAGGACCACTTGGAAAGGTAATTTTGCCCTTTTTCTGTCAAGAAAAACTTCTGTGGAACTCCAGAAGTGTAATTTGCTTTGTTTTACCATATTGTATTTAAAGTACTCCACAAATGTTATTAATGCTCTTAAATTGAATATTGCTGCTGGACAGTATGCTCCACTTAAAACCTGTGAATGTTTCACTTTGCAGTTCTAGGTAGTTGTGTCTCTGATGGCAGATATAAGTTGGTGACTTGTCTGGAATGATCACCATAAGGATTTGTTTCTTAAATACCTTCTTTGAAGTGCCTTTGACCAATTTTTAGCATCAAAATTAAGTTGAGAGTTGAATAAATAAAATAAGTTATCTCATATTGAATTTGTGTCTGTCTTCATTTACCCATCCTGCATGCTCGTAGTGTAGCAGAGCAGTGCAGTGTTTACTTTTTTCTTGCGTGGGTACAGGAAAGTTAAAAAGCTTCTCACACTTGCTGTGTTTGTTACTTATGTCATTTACAAATAGCAAGCTACCTTGAAAACAAAGATGGTACTTTTTAACTGTAAAATTAATCGTAAGTGCTAGTAGTAGATTCACATAAGCAGGCTGTTGTTTCTGTGTTGTCCTGATTTTTCAGTGTCTCCACATTGTTACGGAGTCCTGAGTGAAGAGGCTATAGCTGATACCCCAAAGATAAAGCAAAACTGTTCAACATTAATGCACTTTTTAAAAAAAAAAGATTTATTCTTTCAGCAAATGTCTTCTGCAAAAAAAACCTGTTCAGGTTTAAATGTTGTGCTTCCTAACCTAGTTTTCTGCTGTTCATGCAGAATAATATTCAGCAGTAAGGAATGTTCCATTTATCCAGATAGGAAGTGTCCTTACATGGGAAGTGTTGGTTGTTGAATGTGGACTGCTGAGGGTGTTCTGAGCTGTGGGGAAGATAAGCCTGCGCATTGCTGATTCCAGCTCTTGCTGGACTGTTCAGCAGTCTTTCCTCCTTTTCAACAATGTTTCACCCTAATGAGGCACTTCCCTGGGTTCCAGAAATTTGATAGGGAGAGACTTGTTCTGACAACTATATGAGGAATAACTGGGAAAATCAGATCCCTGCAGTGAACATTCTCATTGTTCCACATAC